AAAAAAGCCAATTTTAGAAAAATTTTAGGGTCGATCAGCCAAAAAGGGATTTCTTAAATAGTACCAAAGAGGGGACCCTTTGGGTCAGCAGGGTGTCGAATCCCTGAGAAATACTTTTTTTAATTCACACAGTTCATTCATTTTGAAAACCACTGTTCCAAGGTAAAATTGTAAAATTGAGTTTTTATGTAGTGGTATGTGTATATCTTGTGGGGGAGAGAGTCGAAAAACGGGACGTAAACTATTATGAATGGACTGTGGATTGATGGTTGCGTATATTTAACTTACCTAATTACGCGTTGTGCTCAGATGTTGCATAATTACTCTGTTCAAACATATTATAAATCGCCATTGAGCTGGAAAAGTTAAACAATGGGAAAGTGTTATTTTAAAGCGGGTCTTTATAATGAGGTAGGGTTTGTCATAGGAATCAGAAAATGGTGCTTATGCAAAAACGGACTAATTGTAGACTCTAAAGTTATTCATGCACTTCAAATTGTTCTCTCTCTCTCTCTCTCTCTCTCTATGTGTGTGTGTGTGTTTCTAAGTTGAAATCACAATCGGACCATCACAACCAAAATCTCCTCTCAAAACCCAATTTCAATTTCAGATAATATTTCTCTCCTCAGAAATTATCTTATCTAACATAACAATTTGCGTCCGACCTCAATCCCCTGTCAATTTTCTTTACTCTGCTGGATTTAAGGTTTTCGATTACTACTGCAGAAAAATCAGCCCCTAAGAACTGAAAAAAAAGAGAAAAATATCATGAAATATGTCTTTCTACTAGGGTGTACTAACAGTTTTAGGACAGAAAAAGCTTAGTTGGAGCTCATTATGAAATCACAGTTCATTTGGTACTTACATATGGTGAAATGAACCGTATCTTAATGAAAACCATTTGGTCGTTTCAATTTTGAATGAAATTGGAAACAGAACATCTCCGGAGTTTCCGAAGAGCTCTTGTTGATAATGAAAAACAGACACAATTGAAATGAAGACTGATGTTCAACATTCAATCCCAAGTTGAGGTTTGCAATTTAAGTTCCAATTGGCTCAACCAAAAATGTGTGTGATTTGACCGAAGATAGTTTAATTCGATGAAAAAAAAAACTGCGCGTGGAAGTCAAACTGGAAAAAATTTTCCGCGTTGAACAAGCAAACATTCTGCCTATTTTAACCGATTATAAAAACCAAAAATAAATAAGATGTTTGGGTTGACATAAACGCTAGATATACAGTTCACTTTTCGATACATTTCATCAGGGGCGGATCTAGGCTTATAAGAGGTCGACCAAACTGTTTTTCCGAGTTCTCCTAATCACTAATAAGACCTCAGCCGAATTTTTGAAAAAACTCGTATTTAGGATGTTTTTGGACAGTTTTGACCAAAAATCTTGTTTTTACAGCGCCCACATTAAAAAACATTGGCGCCAAAGGTGACTTAGAAAGCTTGTAAGGTCAGTCAGCCAAAAATGCAGGTAATAAAACAGTACCAGAGGGGGGTCCCTTTGGCTAATCAGGGATCAAAATCCTGAAAGGATTCCAAACTCCCTCCTTAAATCAAACTCCCTCCCTAAATCAACCATTGCGCATCATGAACTTAGAAATTATCTGAAACATATATAACTAGCATTTTCTCCATTCTATGAAATAGTTTGGACCCAATTTTTTATTGTAACGACTTGTAAGACTAAAAGTTTCCATAAACTATGAAACTGTAGATTTGTTTTTTTTTGTCTTCCGATGTTCTCTTGCTTGTGTTTTAACGCAGTTATCTTGGATAATGACAAATTCACAGAATATCTGAATTTAGAAATACAAAACACACACGATTTCTCGAGCGGTTTTAGAAAAAAACAAGGAATTTGATAATCGGAGCAAAAAAAAACACATAATTTGCTTATATTTTTTGCTAATAGCAACTTCTATTTAAAAAGAAAATTCAGTAACTTATATTTAAAAAGAAAAGCAAGCAAGGAAACCAGATAAAACAGCTGTGTATAATATAGCTTTTGAAATTTTTGAGCATCTGGGCAATTTGCTCACTTGAGAACAGAATTTGTTTTGAGATTAAAAACTAAGACTATAAGTTTCATTGGGAACTTTTGAAAACAACCTGCTATGACAGCAAAAATATTGGTCATACAATTTTAATAGTAAAAAAATACACTAATACCATCTTAATGACAAAATCGTAAAAAGTTTTAGACACGGAATAAAAAAATTCTCCAGGTAATCAAACAGACAACCGATAAAAAGCATTTGAATTGAGAAAACCCTCCTTGTTACTAATTGTTCCAGCTCGGGGATCTTATGCACTAAGTGGCCCAAAAAGAAAAACCTATATTAAAAAATTTCGATTAATGGAAATTCATGGTTAATGGCATGCACCGCAGCTCGGTATAATGGTATAATTCGTATGAAGAGTATGCTTGGGTGTTCTTGAATTTTGTATGCTTGGGTGGTCTCGAACTAACCTCCAACCCTCGAATAGAAAACCATCGTGTATATATTTCAACTTCAAATTAAATAATAAAAAATATAGTCACTCTGATTTTTAATGACTCAAAACATTAAACATACCTGCTTTTGACTGAGAATTGAAGTCAGCAATAATTAGATAAAAATGAAGAAAATTGAACGAGCAAAAAAATCATCAACAATTTAATTATTGCGGGCCAATTAAACAACAGTCAAAACGATGGTCGAACATTATTTTTTGTTCAAACCAGAATTTTATCGGTTGGCTTGCGATTTGTTTTTTATATGTAACCGAGGAAATTATGCAAGAATTTTTTTCTCAGGAATATCTGAGCGGAAAAGGAGGGACTAAGTTCATTAATTGCATCCGCTTTTTTCTCAGTATTTTCTTAAGCTTGTCTGTTTTTCAGTTTGCTTATCGAGCATAAACTGTGTGAACGACTAAAACCCTCTCTTCATATCTCTACATTATTTTACTTGTTCAGTAACAACATAAGGATGTCGAAATATATAATCGAAGCAATAAATGTATGAAAAAAAACTGGGAATGGAAAAAAATCCGTTCAACAAAAAAGGTAATAAAGGTACCAATCAGTGGATAATTGAATCAAATCAAATGATCAGTTGACCCAATCGTAAGCCAGATGGCCGGATGTTGTGCAAGTATTGCAAATTCCGACCGCAGTAATCTTCCTTAACACGATAGGATAAAAAATGTTCATAGTTTTTTGGCTTCAGGAATAAAAAGACAAATAAATAAATTTTTCTAAAAAGTCTGTTGAGCCAAATTTTTCAGTCTCTTTTACCTAAAGTTGCCTAAACGAGAAAATAAACATTTTCTCTAAATTTTTTTAAAAGCCTCAAAAGCGCGATCAAAATTATACCAAAAAAAAGTAAGGAAATTTTAAATTATATCTGCGTTCATTAATATGGTCGGATCCTTGCTGCTACTTCTACATCATCAAAGGGGCGGATCTAGGATTTTTTCGAGGAGGGAGGCGGGTTTTCAAGAAAAAAATGTCGAAAATTTTTTCTGACGAAATTGATTTTCTTTGCTCTCCCAATTTACTATAATAAAAACACTATTTGACAAATTTTTCTGCGCCTTTACTCCTTTACAGCCCCCATCTCAAGGTTTACCCCTTTTGCCCCCAGCCCACACCTACCACCCCCCCCCCCCTGACTACCTCAGACATCCCCCACCTGAACCACCCCCCCCCCCTTGAGTGGTTCAGGTGGGGGATGTCTCAGGTGGTCAGGTGTGTGTGGAGGGGGGGGGGGGGTGTGGTTCTGGTGTGAGGGGAAGAAAATGAGATATCGAGTAACATAATAACAGTAACAAAAATCAAAGTTGCGCAGAAAAAAGTTAAACAATAAGTAATGAACTTTAGTTTAAAAAGTTGAAAAGATTTTATGTGCGTTGAAATTCGCATCTCAATAAAAAGAAAAAAAATCGATTATACTTGAGTTTCCTTGTCAGTGTCCACAAAAGTGATAACGAATCAATTATATTGGATTAATTATGGCTTTTGTTGCCTCGAAATATAGTAATAGTATAATCCGTTTTTGATTGATTATAACTGATTTTTTATTTCATCTTTGTGGACACTGAGAACGAAACTCAACTAGAATCGGTTTTTAATCATGGAACTCCAATGCGGGCCCTCAAAATTAGTATAGGTTGGCACCGAAGGCGCCTTTGGAAAATTTTTAGGGTCAGACAGCCAAAAATGAATATCTCAAAATAGTTCAAAGGGGGGAAATATTTTTTTTTTCAAATTTAAAAGGTGATGAAACGATTTTCTTTGAAAGCGAAACAGATCAAAATTGAAATTAAGGCAATCCAATCTCAAAACGGAAACATTTCTAACAAATATTGCTCAAAACTGAGAAAAAATAAATTGACTTCACGACCCAATCGTACCTGAACTGGCTGCATTATTATACCACTCTCAATTCGCAACAAAAGTTCTTAGGTATCTATAAATTCGTAACAAAAAGACCACTCTAGACCAAAGTTCATTCTGTTTGGGAAATAAAGTAAGTTTCCAAACAACAAAAGTTCTGGCAACTGGAGGGTGGCATTTTTTCTCGTTCTCTAGTCAGGCCTGTGCTAGTCAGCTAGTCCTTGACCTTTTGTAGCTTTTCAAAATTGAAGTTCTATAAAAGTAACAAAAGGTAACTAACTCAGTCGGTTTTGATTGATTTGAGGGTACTTGTTGTGAATACACAGATATAAATATGTCAACTAGTCAAATAAACAGTCAATTGAGGTTTTTGGGAATTCTAAATAGAGCAGAGCCGTTTGTTGTATAATGGGCCTTGTCTGACTCTGCTAAAGGCTGGGGGGCTAGTTCAAGTTAGCGGAATTAAAAAGCCGAAAAAAGCCATCAGAAGGCAGGTAGAGATTAAGTTATTATCTCTTTGCTGATATCCCTGTATTGGGTCCAAATCCATCCCCTAAACAGATTAATGCGTGGGCTATTATATCTAATGGTTTGATTGACTAAACTCACCTCAAGGCCATCGCTTCTAATCTATCTCCTTTCTCCTCTTCGACTGCAGCAGGAGCAGAGTAGTATTTGATCACATGACCACCAGCAGCAGAGCGGTTTGAGAGTTTCTGTAATTTAATCAGAAGTTGTTCCCCGTTGGGGTCGTCAGCTAGTTTAGGCAAGGGTACTGTTATGATACTAATTTCAGGAGCAGCAGATTCTCCCCCTGAATTAACATGGCTTCCACTAGTTTCATGCATATCAGCGGCGGAGGTAAGAATTAGGGACGATAAACTCCTTCTTTCCAAGATTCTTTTCTTATTTTCTTTTGATTTAATATTTTCGGTGCCAATGACGTGGCGAGAACGATGGTGGATGTTGTTCCTACTGTTACTGTGATTTGAATTGGCGCTGTTGTCTGGGGATAATGAGTCTGAATTTGATGGGTGAGTGTCGATGTTGGCGTGTGTAAGTGGGACTGGCGATGATGAATGATTGCAAATGCAAGTTGTCAGAATAAGAGCAATGCTGCAGAATCGGCACATAAAACTGCAGCCTAACAAACTAACCATATCAGATCAGATCGAATCAACTCGGACTCAAAAGATGATGATAATAATGACAAGAAGAAGACGAATGATGAAGATGAGTGTGAAGAAATGTGGCTACAAGTAAGAAAAATTACTTCTTTGTTTTTTTTTGAAAAAAAAAAAGAAATCAAAGATAAATTCAAAAAACAAATGGCCACAGTTTTTGGGCAGTTTTCTAAAACTTTAGGACTTTAAGTGAATTCTCCGAGATGTTATTGCAAATTTTAGTGTCTTCATTTTCTTGAGGGACCCATCTACATGTTTGGGAGACAACTATATGATACTTGTACAGCGGAAAATTTCTTGGCAGAAACTTTTCAATCACCCTTGCGCATATACAATCCTGAGAAAATTCTTGTCAACTCACCCCAATTGATGTTTTCACTGAAAACAAACGATCAGTCTGAGGGCTGTTTTTTCATAATCTTTGTAAACGCTGTGTTTCTGTGATGTAATATATCTAATTGAAAACAGTAGCAAAAAATTGACAGATAACTAATAATCGATCATAAATACTCATTTTCCTTGGTATAGCTAAAATGTAAGAATGCTGTCCAATCGTAACAGCTCTGTGAAAAAAGCCCTATCTTCGACAAACTAAAGGTCCTAATTTTCTAACATTTCTAACTCTACAAGAATAATGATTTAATAAAAAATGATTTGGGGTTTTTCTAAATGAAATATGACTTCAAGGATGAAATGAGGGATAAGAGCGGACAGGCAAAGAGTGAACACTTAATTCGGTCACGACACCCCGTAAACTTCAGATTTTTCTCAGTTTCCTGACAGTAATTTCGTTAATTTCAGCCAACTCTCATTTCACAACGGGCTATTTTTTTATGGTCCGTGTCAATTTATCAGTGTTTGCATTTTATAAGCGTTTAATTTGCATCACTAAACAAAAGGAAAGTTGTTCAACCGGTCATGAATGGGTTCCTTATAGCACCACCCAGTTCTTGCTTTTTTTTATAGCTAAACACACGTTTGCCACACTCCATAATAACTAATGACATCGTAAAAGACTGGCAATTGGGCCATTTTGATCTGGATAGTAGTATTTTATAACTAGAGAACTGAACAAGCCATTGGCAGAAACAAATATATAAAGTAATTGTTCGATGGTACGATCACTCGACCATTGACTAAGCTAGTATAAACAACTGTAAGTTTTTTGTTGGTATGATGAAAGTTTAATAGGCCCTGTTAAAATATTTCAGCCCCTCTGATTGTCGATGAGTTTCTACGAAAAGCTGATATTGAAGATAAAGGGCGGAATGGAACAAGAGTTTATAAAAACAACCCGTATTTGAACTATAGCCCAAGGCCCAAACCCAGATTCGCATGTACAAACAGAGGGCTTGTGTGGGTTGTTTCCAATTAATCCCATCAGCTGTTCTCGTAATCTGAAAAAGGTAAACAAAGTCGTCAATAAACAAGTTAAACGAAAACAGAAGCAAATGTCAGGCGAAGGATTAAAAGCTAAACGTCTCCTGTTCTGAAAAGGCCCGGGCAATGATTAAACAGTCTGTAAGAAGAGTATAATAACTATTGTCTTTTTCGTTCATAAAATTTTTTTAAAACAAAAAGTAGCAAAAAGTGAGAAAAATCGATTTCAAAAAAGAGGAGCGAAGAAAGAAGAAGATTGCGATAAATTACGAACAGCAGATAGGGGGTTATTGAGACTGTTCTACTCTCTTGTCTGCCTGAAAATCTATTCAACTTCAATAATTTATCCGCCTCTCAGGAATCAGAATACCACAACTAGGCTCTGCTTTCCGCAGCCCCAGCGCCTAAGCTGAAACACCTGAACAACTGCAGGTTAAAAATCTGTTAGAAAAGGGCAACGAAGATGATTTGGAAAAACACACAAAATTATTCGGAAACAAAAAAGTTTTTCAATTGACAATTGAAGTATCTCTGTGTAATTTACATGGCAGAGTTGAATTTTGGCTAAAAAAAGTTTTTTTTTTTTGCAGTTTGGTTTTTAAAACAAACCAGCAAACGAATCGTCGTCAAGTTTGGTCAGTTATCTTCATCCGACTGAACGTTTTAATTTCAATTTTAGCGTAAGAACTCCAAAACAGTGGTATTTTTGCTGTTTGCTTTTGAACAACTTACTGCTGAGGAAATGTTAGAAAGTGTCTTTGCTTCTGAGATGTGTCGGTTTAAAGTAGGTCAAAAGTGGTGTCCAAATTAGAGATGTTATCAGACAGATTGTTAAACTAAACTGTCATCTGTCATCCGGATACCAGCAAGACTCTTTCAGAGTGGGGACTAGTCCCTCTGGCAGTTATCTCGAGACTCTTCACTGGATAATCTCTTCACGCGGTGGAAGTCTAATCAGACTAGTACTCGAAACAACATCGCCACATACACGCACGTATGCAGAACAAATATCAAAGCCACTTATTATTCAACCCCTCCCCCATGCAAAATATGCAGTAAATGGAATGAAGGTTCAAATTTGAATAGATTGGCGGGAAGGGAGATTAATTCAAAAAGCGTAAGTGGCTTCAAATGTGTTGCCTTACCGGGTTGCTTGTAATCGAACATGATAACCCAATCAACCCAAGTATGAAACGAAAAAGACCGCCTCTGCGATAAAAATTGGGTTGTAATATGGAAACTGGTTGTATAGCGAGAGGGGAGGGCCAGTTTTGGATCAAAGACAGCGTTGGATAGGACCTCCCGCCCTAAATTTTTCTGTCTGTTGAGTCGGTGGATTATTAATGTGGATCTAAAATGACATTTATACCAAAACAAAAGCTCTAGTGTTTGATTGATTTGATAGGAGAAAGTAAGCCAGAAACAAAAGGACGGATAAATTGAGAATGATTGAATGCATTAAAGCAACCCAAACTTTCTCTCTGCAAAGTGCCGCTGGGGGACTACTTGTTTCTCTCTTAATTTGACAAATATTGAAACAACAGTCAAAGTCTGTTCATAAACAGCGTGAAAACTTCAATCGAGCATGCCCCGGAACAGAGAAATGACCTCCTTTCTTTCTAGGAATTGTGTCGCGGTCAAATCATTATTTGCTTGCGTCCCCCTGCTCTTACCCTTCCCCTTTTTTCACAGTGAGCCTTGAACTTTTTTTTATAAATTGACCCATCAGTGTGGGTTTCAGAGGGGAAATAATTGAAAGAAGATCGAATTACCACGGTATACGGAATGGACTGAACTGGTTATAAATGTCTCAAGTGAACGAGAAAAAATTATTTTCTGACAATAATTTAATTAGAAATAGGACAATCCATTAATAAAACAAACAAATCTCCCTCTCTCTCCTACAGTTGCTACTGGTAAGCCATAATAAAGGGGAAACTTGGCAACCAACGGTGCAACTTTCTGAAAAAAGCTGCCCCTTTCCAGGTCGAATGCTTTCATTTCATGTTTAGCTTAGTAATATTTTTACAAAAACGTTTTAAAATGAAATTCTTGAAGCTTCGCAGACAAACTTTCCGGATAAAAACTAACCCAGCATAACCCAGAGTCAAAAAAATTCTAAGGGAACGTTTATCTGTAGCATAACTCAATCGGTGTATGAACAGCTGAATGAGAGGCTCCAAAATATTCAATAAATTGATGCTTTTGGAATCTAACATCTAGCAGTTTAAAAACTCATTAAACATCGCTGTAGATAAACATGCTCAGTAAACTTTTTGGCTTTTTGTTATGATGATTAGCTCTAATCAAATGATATTGTATCCGAAACAAAAAAAATCCTGCCAAAATTATTTATGCCTAAATCCTGCCTAAATAGTATTTTAAGTGACTGGTACGCCAAAAAAGTTTAGAAGCAAAGGGTATCGTTAAGTTTTCAGGACAAAGCATGATTATCGATTTCGCAAACAAGACCGGGGCTAGAATGAAAAAATAAATAAAATCTCATTACGAGGCCAAACTGTGTATTAAGTGAATTGTAGGCGAATTCCCCAACAAGGAAGCTCTCTTTGATTTTCTTTGATATTTTTTTTCTCAATTTCTTTGACTTTTCCGACATTTTTTTAAGCATGTTTAAGACCTACTAACACTTAAAATAAGCCCCTACCCAGGCTTCGTAATGCTCATCAAAACATAATATGTTCAAAGTTTGTCTCAATTTAGGAAATAGTAATACGTTTAGTAAAGTAGAAGCGAAAAAAGTCCTGTTCGAATTTACCTGAAGCTCCAATTTAAAAAGTGAAAATGGACTTGATTTTTGGCAAGACGTAACAGCTTAACTTTTAGCTACGTTGTTTTTGGTGCATTGGGATCACGGACAAATAGCTAAGAGTCGTTTGTTTTTTTTTGGCTGAAATTATGAGCGAATAACTGCTCTTAGCTTTCTGAAACATAATAACTATAAAAAAAAAAGGTTTTGGCGTTTCATAATTCCAAAAACTCTTTTATAACTGTATCTATTAACATTTTGATTTTCTTAATATAAGAAAGAATAGCCACTGGTGGCATTTGACGAAACTCATCTATTCGATCACATAAAATGTTAAACTGAACAGCATCTTAAAAAGTTTTTTGAAGATTTTTTTTGCTTTTTTGAATGAATTTTTTGAAATTTTTGTATTGAAAATAAAAATTTTGTGATTTAAGTATCTTTTTACTATATTTCAGAGAAATTTAGAAAAACTTGAGAAATTTAGAAAAATGAGTTCAAAGAATAAATTGGTTTTCATTGCTGGTTTTTGATAACTAACTTTTGATTTTGGGAAACAGATATTTTATTGTCGTTGCTAAGCACTAAAAGCATTTTTAACTACTTTATTGTAGTTTCATAGGATGGTTGCAATTTTCAAAGAGAAAGCGGAAGATTTTGCTAGGGGAATTTTTTATGTTCCATGTTTTGGAGAAAGTGAGAAAAAATAAATGCTTGTGTTGGCTTTTCTACTTATTCAGACCAATAAAGTTTGGGGATCGTATGGATTGGTCCAAGGTTTTTGGATTACAAGCGAAATCCATATGGCTTAGAGTTTTTCTCTTATGTTTGATAATGGCAGTACACATTTTTTTAGCTAATCTAATCAAATTTTATTTCTTTTAA